ACTATCATTGATATGACTTGAGAGACTGTGTGATTATTTTGAATCCAATATAACCAATCTCCCACCTGCAAATCAAATAGATAGAATATAAAAATATAATGTAAAACTTCATGATTTGAAGGGCAGCTTTGTGTTTCCCTTAGTTAATTATTATCTTATGTTCCAAGGCACAAAGGGCAGTTAGGGTATTGCTACAGGACCACAGCTAAGGTAATTTGGGTACCTTACTTACGATTCTTCATGCTCTCATATGTTTGGTTTCTTTTAAATTTAACCTTATATCTGAGTTACTCAGTTTTAGTGGTGGATGTTTGAGAATTATCACATTCTTGGAACGACTGGAACCTGTATATTATCGACATATACTCTCAACCTTAACTTCCCCTGAATTCAATGTTTTGTCCAGCAGTCTTGTACACTTGGGATGTGTATAGCGCATAATAAAAAAATTAGGAACAGCACAAATTACCGTTAGACAACCAACTTCCATGGCAAGTCAGTGGAGTTACACCAAGGATAAAATTGGTTCATTAGGAATATATGTTTATAACTTCTAAAAAGAGAAGGTGCATTTTAGTCTATGGAAATGTTAACATGTTTGGATAATAAAACAAAGTTTAGTCTTTACCTCTGCAGTGCCTGCTATATTCAGTCGAGCTGTTCGGAGGTTTAGATTACTAACTGTGAAGTTTGACGTTCTATATTCTTTTCCTTTGGGGTCCCGCAGTAAAATGTCTGGTGGAGATGTGCTTTGATCCCATGTAACTACAAAGAAGGTATCATTTCCCACAGTGCTATCTACAGTCACTGTACCATTCATCCACTGCTTGACTGCGACACTCTGAGCTGTACTTTCAAGCTATTAGACAAATAAAATATGTTTTATGGCTAGTTAGCAGATAAACACTTAAAATACCAATAATTTCAGAGTGGTTCATTTTCCTCTTACAGGGGAAAACAATTCAATATTTTTTTTATTCAGAGGGCAACTTGATTGGCTGGTGGACAAGTGGCCCACTACTGGAAGAGTGGATAAAGGAGCATTAATGCTGTAAAGGCCTGTTGGCACCACGATGAGCAGGTCTCTGCTGTTCTGTGCAGAGCTGAGGGTTGTGCAAAGGAGGCAGAAGCCTCCTGCCACTGTGCCTCCACACATGGAGAACTAGCCGGAGGGCGAGGGCCACGTGCACTAGCTATTGAAGGGAGTGGAATGATGAAGCCCTGAGCAAATTTTCTGTAATGCCCATTTGCAGAGTACAATTGCTTAAGAATGTGAAAATATAGTAACCAAGGGTCTCCTTCTACTCCTATATGTGGTCTATTCACCTAGCTATCAAATGACATCTGTGCAGGAGATTAGTGCTACATTTCCTCTCCAGCTGTCAGCCTGTTTCTAGAAAGACCGCACAATGAGAGAGCTATACAACCACAGGTAGGGACAACAGAAAAGCAATGAGAGACACAGACAGAAATAATAAAACACAGCAAGAAGAGAAACAGGATTTCCTTTACCAACACTGGTATTGCACATGTGGACCACCAGAACTTACAGATAAGCTACCAATATGAGTTTTATAGTGGCCCACTGAACTACCAGACTGCAAGTAGATTTGCTCATTCTGTTTGTGGATTAGAAAAACTACAATTAGAAAAAAGAACAGGAGTACTTGTGGCACCTTAGAGACTAACAAATTTATTTGAGCATAAGCTTTCATGGGCTGCAATGCATCCGATGAAGTGGGCTGTAGCCCACGAAAGCTTATGCTCAAATAACTTTGTTAGTCTCTA